TCTAAACATTAGATCTACAACACAATTTACCGGAAATCCTCCCGGTGATAAATTTGTTTGAGATTTTCCGAATATATATTCTTCTTCAATAAAAAAGAAATTCTTCTTTCCTTTCTTCAAATAACGTTCTAAGAGTTAAAATTAAGGAAATGATTGCCATAAATATCTGGTATAAACATCATCCACCATTATTTATCTAAGAATACATCCGAATAGATCGCTTGATACAGTAGCAACCTATAATTTGATCCGATAAAACTTTAGAGAACAGAATACCTTATACTAAAGGCGCATACAGGATCCAAAGAAGATATCAAATCTAGTATATTTAGTACAATAATATAGGAAAAACATCAAAATATAAAAATTATTTTTGACTTATTTCTCCTAAATTACTTAGCAAATAGGTTATATATAACGATATTAAATGATTACGCCCTTAATTATCTTAAAATGTTCAGTTTTAACTGGAAACTATTAATAACCTTTCTGTACTGCGAATAAAAATTTGTTTTTAAAATAATTCTAAATCTATTTTATCACGAAAATGTTCACTCTCTCGGATCAATACTTGACCATAGGTCAATAGTCAGACTGGTTTAAGTAATCGTTCCCGAAAGAGAGAGAAGTAAAATTTAATTAGTACTTGTAAGCAAAACAAATGATGCATGTGTAACATATATCTAAATTTATGCCATCTAAAATACAATCGTAGTAAGATGTTTTTACTATTTCTATCGAATAGAAATTTTACTAAGTAAAAGTAATCTACGTTTATACTGTTTTCCTAAAAATAGAGTACATCCACAAGGTGACACTTTGGCAAATTCGATTTACGTCAAGTTCTCGAGTAATTTTCAACGATCACAAATTAAAATCGAAAACTGAGTATTTTTCTTTCGTCACAATTATAAGCTAAAGAATAAAATATTTTATACTTCTCCTCGAAAATATATTAAAAAAAAAAAAACCCGAACTCTTTCCTGTAATTTGAATATTCCTTTACTCTTCACTGGTCGAACTGGGTGAGTCGCTAACAATTCGTTATTATCCTATTATACTATCATCCGTTGTTAAAGAGCCGTTATAGATTTTTAGAATTTCCTTTATTAAAATCAATTTGTTCCGCTTCAGTAAAAATACTGTGTGCTTTGGTATTTTAGGGAACAGATTGTTAAATTATGTCATTGGATTTGTGTGGATACGATTATCCAAGCTTGTGTCAAGAATATATATATATATATTTTTTTTAGATTTTTACTGGAAGAGAGCAATAGGAAAAATGGAAACAATGTTATCTTTATTTAGGATCGCCTAATCTCCTTCACTCATCCTCTTTTAAAGCAGAAAGCTTTAGAAATTATCAAATCTCATTGTAAAAGAAGTGGCAGTTGCTCGGAATGTCTCAAAAAGTCTTAGATATTCACTTAGCAAGAGAGACCGGATGTGGGAAGGGCGCAAACTAAATTTTTTTGAATAGCTCTACTTGACCTCTTTGAATTTATATATATATTTTTATTTATTTATTTAATTTCGTTCGTAAAAAAGAAAAAAAAAAGAAACAATGTGTTTACTTTAGAAACATTCCACGTTCTTTAATAGTTGATGAGACTAAATCTATAACTATACCCGGCTTAGTTAGAAGGAGGGAGTGAAGAACGATTGGTAACAGAGGACTGATGGTTTTCTCCCGGCGGTTACACAAAATAAAATCTTTAACGGTCGACTGTATAAATACCAGCTGCAGAGCTTAGAGTCAAAAATAGAAAAACAAATCTCGATCTTATTTGATGTAATCTAGATGAGAATGAATCCGAGTTGCTACAGCTGTGTTTCTTACAAATTGGTCATTCTAACTAATTTCGAATTATTAATAGTACAATCGAATATACATTAGTCGGACATCCATAATTTAACTAGATTTAAACAATCCCCTTTTAAATTCGCTAATTATATTCTTCGTAATGTTTATTTTGTTAAATAATTTAGTTTAACGGCAATTAATTACAAATTTTTGCATCGATTTAAAGATTTTCTAATACACTTCAGTTAAATATGCAGCGTGGAGTAAACAGCAATTCTGATTATATTCGGTAATTATAAGATAATTGATAAAAGGAAAATATAAAAGACAGAAAAGGGGTTTCATAAGAGGCGTTTAATCAAAGGATAAAATCTACGTGTTTTCCTCGTCTACATACGACACATACAATTATGCCACAACCGGAGAAATTTTTCGTACGTCCTTGAGGAATATTAATGCATTTTAAGTAATTATCAAATTTATTTTCTTGATAAACAATCGCCATATTTTTTAAATATACATTAGATACATTCGCCGATTAATTTTTAATATTATTATTTAATACAGTCGACCCCCCTATAACACTGTTGATAATTCCGTTTTATATAAATTCCATGTTGTACGAGTCACTTAGATTTTACAAATACGTGTGACGGGCTGTGAACGCCTCACGTATTTGTAAAATCTAAGTGACTCGTACAACATGGAATTCATATAAAACGGAATAATCAAGTGTTATATAGGGTCGACTGTATTTAATTTTAGAAATCGAAAATCTTTAACATCTCGAAAACATTTTAATTTTTCATGTAAAATGACCATTTAAATGCTTAAAAATTATTTTTATATTAACGTTTCGTAAACAAATTTACAATTATTAAAGAAATTAATATTAAATTAGTTACTTATCAAATTTATTAATTAGGATATTTGTTATTGTTACTAACAATTAGATACTTATACAGCTTAATATTAATTTTTAGATTAATATATAATTATTATATAATGTGTAATTTAAAATAGTAAAACTTGTAGACTAGTTAATTTATACAGTCGACCCCTCTATAACACTTGATTATTTCGTCTTATATGAATTCCATTTTGTACGAGTCACTTAGATTTTACAAATACGTGTGCCGGGCTGTGAACGGCTCACGTATTTGTAAAATCTAAGTGACTCGTACAACATGGAATTCATATAAAACGGAATT